CAAGAAAAGTGATTCCTTGGCCCTTTCTTTGTACTTCAAATACAATTTCCCATTCTGTATCTAAAGTCTAAACTTTCTTTTATGCTCAATGACAGACACACAACCAACAAACCATAATCATAGCCCCAGCAATCTTTCCCCAGCTTGGTTTATCTGGACAGTCCCAAAACATCTAGAGCCCATTATTTTATAATCACTTGTCACCACAGCTCATGAGACCAACAACATGAGCAGAGCCACCTCTGTCCTGTACCACATCCCTGTCTGTCCAGCTTCTTGACTGAATTACAGTGCTGCTGAGGCTAACCATTCCAGAGCTACCTGCTCAGAGGTAGTCAGTTGAATCTATTAAGTGCTTTGCTGTATTTTTCTCCTCATCTTCACCGCTTCAGAGTTATCCCAAAAAGAGTCTCTTCGCAGTAATGCCCTCAGCCTCCACCACATCCCATCCTACCCAGAGTATTTGCTAAGTCTGCAGACAGCGTCCTCAGCATATTCCTAACCTGCTTTTCCTGTTCAAAACAGGTCGGGGGAAAAAAAAAAAAAAATCACAGCACTTTCTAAATCCTTAGAAGGCAGATGTTAATCTCTGTATCATGAGTCAAACTAGTCTAGTCATTACAGAGCTTCAAAGGACACAACATATAGAATCGAACTTCCCCGTGACTGAGAGGCCTTAGGTCCACTTTAATTACAAGTTGCTACACTGTAACGTCACCATTCTCATTCCTCAGACTTGCCATATTTAAAAACAGAACAGCTGCGAGATCCCCTGGTGCCAGTGACCAGAATAGGAAGAAAACCCTCAATATTGTTGTCACTGCATCCCAAATCTCCCCTCACTGTTAGCATACTGACACTGTGTGATGCCATCAGCAGCACCTAGGCCCTCTCATGAAAACATTGCCATGCTGTAATTTCTCACTCACTTTTAGCTGAACAAAGAGATTAAGCTCAGAGATAAGCAGAAGTTGCATTTCCATGAACACATGGAAGCTGCTATTACTGTAAGTTTTTCCCCCCTTGCAAGCAAGAAAAGTGGCTAATTATTCAGAGGAGTGTAACCAGGTATAACTAACCACTTACTGCTTGCTCAGGATGTCTGCAGATAGTCATCCAGCCTGCTTTTCAGGCTGCATTACCAACATGATGCCCATGAATCATTTCGTCATTTTAGGCGGATTTAAGAGGTACACAATTATAAGTAGTAAGTGTAAATACTACAGCATTATAAGTGATCTTGCAACTTTATACTCAAGCATAGATTATATCACTAAGAAAAAGCTAAGCAAAATTGTCAAAATGGATATTTGAAAATTAGTGCTTTTGCTACAACTAACATTAAATGTAATTTCAGTGGATTTTCACAGTAAAATTATGGTGTAGAAGGATGCATTTCATTAAACAGAAGACAGACCCACCAAGCCCAATGAGAATAAAACCCATGCTTCAGAGCATGTTAAGGAACTCACTGGATTAAGTTGCAGCAAAATATGTTAGACTTCAATGAGACCCAGTCTGTCCCTTCCTCACTTCACCCCTCATGCCCTGACTGGAGACCAGGAAGCACCTGCAGCCAGCCCACCTCTTCTCTCAGTTCAGTTACACCTTGCTTCTGCTGTTCTCCCACAGCCAGTCTGTGTGTATCTGCCATCCACAAAGATGGACTTAGGAAGACACAGCCCTAACAGCAAGTACTACAGAAAATGTTAGGAAAAGCATTCATGGCAGGAAGAGTAAGACCTAAGCACTAGCTTTTGATGTAACAAAGAAAGGTTAAGTTCTCTTGCTACTCCATAGCATGGAAATGTGCTCCCTTCATCTTGTTCTCCCATACTTTTACATACTTTTCTTTTAAAAACACTCAGAGTAAAGATTTTGAAGCTCTACACACACACACACACACACAGCATTTTCTGAAAGCTACATTTACATCCATTTGAAGTGTTCCAAGTTGTTTTTCAAGGGAAGGTACACATACAAAAATAACACATTAACTTTCCTCCCTGCCAAGCAGAAAATTTAGTGCTGATTACAAGTGACCATTAAAAGCAAAAGTCTCAAGGTATGGGAAGCACAAGAGCAACACTAAAAACCTGTCCTGTTTTTTATGACCATCCCCATCACCTATAAACAGGAGGGGAATCAACTCCTTGAAAGGGTAGATAACTGCAGGACAAGAGGAAATGGTTTTAAGTTGAGGGAGGGAAGATTTAGATCGGACGTCAGGGGGTAATTCTTTACTATGGAACAGCTGCCCAGAGGGGCTGTGGATGCCCTGTCTCTGGAGGTGCTCAAGGCCAGGTCGGATAGGGCTCTGGGCAGCCTGGTGTGGTATTAAATGTGGAGGTTGGTGGCTCTGCATGTGGCAGGGGGTTGGAGATTCATGATCCTTGAGGTTCCTTCCAACCCTGGCCATTCTGTGACCTTTCTTTCTGCATGGTGTACATACTGTCCTCTGAGTGATTAGGGCGCACAAGATCCTCAACAAAGACAATTTATGAATACTGTCAGTTCATAGTGATTATTTCCTCTGGTTGAGCAATTTTGTACGTTTCTAAGCACCTCTGTCAAACAACAGTAAATGAACCACCGTAGGCAGAAAACATTTAAAATAAAAATTAAGAAACTGAGAACAACAAATATCAGGTACAAATTAAGAAAAAAAAAAAGTCTCTTTTTTTTTTTTTTTTTTGTGAACTTAATGACCTCGGCCTGTAGGAGCAGCAGACACGGATGGCACATCGCCATTTGCACGCAGCTCCCGCTGCAGCCGCACCGACGCGCTCGCACGTCACACGCGCCGCTCGCACAGCCGGTGGCAGGGCGCCCCCTAGCGGCAGCACGGCTCAGTGCAGGCAGCGAACAAAGGGCCGGCTTAACGGAGTCACAGCGCCCAGCCGAAACCCGCTGATGCAGCTGGGAAATCTCGAGGCTCCTGTCGCTAGGCAGACCACGACACAGGTGAGGAGAGATTTCTGCTTCAGGCTTTTCCACCATTAGGTACAACCAACTCTTAGGAGATGCTGTATCGGCCCCCAAACTTATTAACGTGGACTTTGCCAAACGCACATCTCTACAGAACAGGATGCAAGCAGCTAATCAGCAAGAGTTCTGATTTGCTTTTAATGGGCCAAAGATACAAAGAGTGCTTCAAAAAATAAGGAATGGATTTGCTAACCAGCTAATGAAACTATCTTCATTAAGACAAACAAGCAAAACTTATCACAGGGTGAGAGTTTGCTCTGCAGATGAAGCAGTTCCAGCACAGAGCACCCGGGCCAGAAGCACAGCTGCAGCCAGGAGCACAGGGAGCTGCCTTTCAGAGCTCTTCAGTCTCAACTCACCTCAATCTCAGCTAACAAGCACATGGCATCTTCTCCCCAAACCGGGAGCAGCACACCAAAGCACAAAACAAACGCATCAGTAATTCCCACATTATCAGCATCAAGCAAAGGGGAACACACAAATAAACTCCTCCATGCACCCTCTGTGACGCAGCAGGCCTAAAAATTCAATTGCAAGGAACAAACGCGCGCAACAAAGACAAAAAAAAAAAACAACCGAATTTCGACCTTACCGTGAATTCTCCAGCGCTGTGAGCCGCCACCTGAAAGCACGCGAAGGGAGGCCGCGCTCCGCTCGCACAGAGTTGTGGGCACGGAGCTGTGGGCACAGAGCTGTGGGTGTGAAGGCGGCCGCCCCGCCCAGCTCAGCGGCAGCACGCGGCCTCAGCGCCACGAGCCGCCCCGCTCCCACGGCCCTTCGTATCCGCCCCGCTCCCACGGCCCTTCGTATCCGCCCCGCCCCGGCGCCTCGCCTACCCGGGTTTTGCAAGGCAGCTTCCTGAGCACGTGGAGCGCTGCTGGGCGAGGGAAGAAACCCGGACCGGAAGCGACGCGGCACGGGAGGCTGAGGGGGGTCAGCGCAGCCCGTTGCGGCTCCTCGAGGCTCCTCTCCCAACCCCGGCCTTACAGCCGACAGTCTTAGGGCAACCGACGCGGAAAAGTGGTCCCGCTGCTGCCGTTCCCGCGCCCGGCCGTTGCCCCCCTCAGCGGAGTAATGGCTGCGCGCGGGAACGGCAGCAGCCGCCTCCTTCAGCCCTGCGGCCGTCCAGAAAGGCGCGAGTTAGGAGCAGGGGAAGGGGCCGAAGGAGGAGATGCTCCTGGGTAAATGGAGCATCGCTTCAGACAACAGACAATCGCGGGTTTAATGCGGGGTGTTAAGAGAAAAACGAGACTTTTCAGCTGACGGCAAAGCCGCGAGATGTGGTCAGCTGTGGTATGGCAGAATGTAACAGTGTAAACAACGGTCTGCTAACCAAGTTTCTATCATCTGTTCTCCTCAGAAACACGAGGAGAGCAGTAGTTACAATGGCGTGGTTTTATCTCCTATGAAAGTTCCTCTCGGATTCGTTTCTGGTTGCAGGATTTGTCTGAAGCGGGCCTGCTGCTGACAGCCTCCATAGAGCACCAAAGGAGCATCAGCCATCACAGCTGGGAGCAGCAAGGCTGCACCTGGGAGGCGGAACGCTGACAGCAGCTGTGGCATGAGATAATTGGGTGTGTTTGATTTGAACCATCTTAATCAGATGTTCCCCCCTTCATTTTTTTCCTGCAGAAACTATATCGAGCTCTGTCATGACAAAAAGCAGCACTTGGATTGCACAGAAAAGGGAATGACCCATCACCAGTGGAAACTGTGTGTGCTTTTGGATTTCAAGTTCAATGCTCAATTTCTTCTGGCACCAGAATGAGAATTGAGCATATGAACTGTTATAGCACTCTCTGAGAAGAGTTCCACTGAAAAAGAAGTGTTTACTATACTTACCAGAACATTTAAAAACCAACAGATGCCCCTACATACACCCTCACAAAATACATACATTCTCTGGAGTCAAGGGTGAACAGAGAAGTAGATAAAAGGTTATTATCAGAAAATGATGCCCCATGAAATTACATTAAAGCAACATATAAGTTACTTTCAAAAGCCAACACACATCGTAAGCATCTCTTTTATTCGTTGTAATATAAAGAAGCATACATCATTCAGTTCCTTTAAGTACAACGCATTGTACGCTAACAAAACAAACAAAAAATCAATCCAGACATCCATGAACATGTCACAAAAGGACTCATGTTTTGCTCTGCTGGTATTGCACTTGGAATAGTTCTGAAGTAAGGCACGGTAAAAACAAAGTCATTTAGTGCTTCTACAGCAGATGTCTTTTTTTTTTTTTAAACACATGCTACATGACAAAGTACTTCTAGCTTATGTATATACACACAAAAAGAAAAAAGCATGCACTAGAGAATTTAGATTTCAACATATCTTGTTGTTTCATAATATACAAATAAAGTAGTTTAAAGATGTAAACAAATTGCATGCACATAAACTAGAGCAAAATTTTTAATACAGTATTTGAAAGCTATTACGCTTAAATAAAAAAATATAACTTATTAGTACTCAGGTTTATGTGCCATTTTTGTCCTGTAGAGAATTAAAAATTTGGGGTTGGGGTAGGGAATAATGTCTGGGCACAGAGGATTCTTCTGTTTTTGCTACTGTTTTTATTTTTTGCTTTACATATTTGGCAGCAGTATGCTGGTAGGAAAGACAAATATGGCTTTTGCAAAACAACATAACGAAAACATGAGAAAACACAACTGTACTTGGGGTCCAGCATCCTGGTATTTTCCAATCAAGAACAATGAAAAAAAAAGATACATGCTTTGAGTTGGGAACACTACACATTCCAAAAGCCCTTTATAAAGACATTTAAATTCTACAAAAAACAGACACTTCGCCAATTGTAAACTCTTAAAAACTAAACACAGAAGAATCTGAATGACTCAAGCTTCACTTTCCACTTCAAATGCTACTGAACAGGCAATAGGTTTCTCCCATGGCTGCGATAGCTGAAGTGCTATTAGACTGTCTTCAGAATTAACAAGTTGCCAATAAAGGGTTTGCTTATTTTCAAACAAGTACATAACACAATAAGTAATTCAACTGCATACATTTTCCTGTTGCTTTATCTTTGGCATACAATACACCCTTTTTCAAATTAAATACAGGACATGTACCACTCTACATTCCAACATAGCATGTTGAAAAGGCACATTTGATGCTGCAGGGGTGGCAAGGGAAGACTCCTTATTTTGTAAAAGGCACAGTGTTCAGCGTGACATTCCTTCCCCATGCCCCAGAGAGTGTTTAGTTAGACCAGCAACAGTTCTACACAGCAGCCTCCCAGGAGCTGTCCATTTTTCTCAGCCACTGCTCTCTTAGCTAGATCCAGGCTTGGAAAAGTCACCAATGCCTCTCCACTGGGCTGGCCACTAAAGTTGTAAAGCATGAGGATGGAATCTGTGTGGAGCTGCAACGGTACAAGAAGACAAAAGGAAATGTGCTATTAAAACCAGAGATGACATCTGGAACAGCAGTTTTTTCATTCTCTGTATCAAGTTCACTCCACTCCTGTGTTTGCAGTGAAGAGATTCTGGATGCAAGAATGAGAAAAAAAGAGAAGAGACCAAAGATTAACAGAAATATACTTTCAGCAGCAGTTCCTACTCTGCTGGTGTACTGAACAGAATGATGTAGACATAATTCCATGCAGCATTTTTGCTAGAGAAGTAATTCAGCTTAAAGGTTGACCAGAAAGACTTAGACGTTAATAAAGGGTTAATGGAGCAAGAAAACGCAGGCACTCAGAAGGTAATTCTTGTAGTATGCAGACTACTGGCCAACTGACAAAGGCTGTAACAGCATGTGAATACTTGCGTGCAAAGATTACAAAAAGAGACAGAGGTATTACAGTTCTGTGTTGGGAAGATCAGCTGATCTTAACCCAGGTTTACAAAGCAAAAAAAACTGCTTAGTGAAAGAAAGCTGAAGTACTGCACCAAATCTTACTGAATCAAGGAAAACTTTATAATCATTTTAAGGAAGCTAAGGAAAAGACAGGATAGCAAATTAAATGCACCTGCAGTTCCTGATATGGAAGAAGTTTCAAAATGCTGAGTTTAAAGCAGATGTGTCTGCTCCCCTATGGTACCCAGCCATTTCTTACAGCACTGAAAACCTGTACAGTTAAGTTCAGAAGTCCCACTTGTACACTGGACAGAAATGGATCTGAGTGAAATTTCAAAACCAAAAGACTGAAGGATTAAAAAAAGCCCAGCATACAAGATTAGTCTGTTGCAGAATTCAGTGCCAAACAAAACACACAAGCTATGCTGCAAGGCCAACCATTTTAGGAGTATTTGCCTGACTCAAGTCCATGTGACATATGCCCTCCTGAGCTCATGAGGGGTCAGAATACTGAAGTTGAATAGAATTCATGTATGCCTCACTGTCTGAAATGAATACTAGACTTCTCAGTTATTATCAAAAGAAGTTTCTGATTAGTTTACATTCAAACATAGAAAAATAAAGCAACACATGCCAGAGCTTCACAAACCCAAACATTTGGCAGGCAATAAGATTATTCTTAAAGATAGAAGCAATGACATATTTTAGAAACTAAAAGCATGCATAAGGACAGCTAGCACAGACTTCACATCCATTTCATTTTATATAGTTAGTTAAGAAATGGCATGCAGGAAGAAATTTGAAGACGAATAAAACATCATGTCTGAAGTCCAGTTCAGATTTAGAAATAAATTCAGTTTTATTCCAGAATGACGTTGTGCTCAAAGAGAAAAGTTGCACAAATCTGAGATAAGATAGTCTAAACTAGCTCTTCACTACTGTCCTTGTAACAGCAAGTTATTTTTATTGGTCCTCTGTGTAAGTTAAATAATGCTGTTGAAAATCAGTTGAAAACATACATGGAGCACAGTTAGACTGCTGAGCACAGAAGACAGCAGGAGTGGTATCTATAATGTTTGAAGAGTGTAAAATTCACATTGAGCTACTCTACAACTTCTTTTCTAGTCAAAGACCATTTCCATCTAATACACACTAGAACCCTATTACTGGTTGGCTTTCCAGAAAATCTGGGTAAAACAAGAGAGACAAATGGATTGTCCAAGTCTACATAAATAAGAAAATGCTCCAGGTAGTAACAGGTATTCTGCACGCCACAGAAAACGTAGCCTCTATTCCATCTTCTCCTTAGCAGATCTAACAGTAACATTATAAAGCAAGTAATTCGAAAACAACTGAGCAAATGCTGGTTATATGAGAGTAGTTATGTTGATTACGGGAGGGCATGAACTTACTGCTATTAAGGCAAAGTATTTGATTACCCTTTTGTTGTACTGAAACTTTTCTTTTTTTTTTAAACCCTCCAAAAGGGGAAAAAATCCCACAGTAACTAATCAGTAGGATTTTGAATGGAATACAATAGTAATTGGAAATGATTAATTGCACCTAAGTATCAATGGCATTTCTCTACAAAGTATACGGTAATACTAAAGTATGCCATTAGCAAATGTAGTTTGTTGTATTAGAAAGCCACTATACCAAAAAATCTCTCCTAAAAACAACAAAAAAAGTAATAAGTAGTTCACAATCCTTTAGTGAGATCAAGAGGGAGAGAAAACATCCAGAAGTTTGGGAATTTTGTGCACACATTCTGTAGTCATATCAACAACAAAAATGACCATCTACCAGTATTTTAGATACTGGACTGAAAGCTTTACACGAAAACAAACACACACTTTTGGAAGGCTAACCCACTATCTGAGCAAAAGCAGGCAATCACACCACCTTCACCACAGCTACTCCATCATGATTGGCCTTTTTGCTTAGGTTAGTAGATTTTTTTTTTTAATAGGACAAAAGCAAAAGATTAAAGCAAGGATCCGATGCAAGCCAAGAAGGGGGAAAGAAAACAAAATCTGCATCAAGAAGCCCTGCTTTCGCTTCCCATACACCATTGGAGATCCAGTTTCTTTGAGTTGCATCTTACCTTCTTTGGAAGTTACAAAGAGTTACAAACAGACCCACTCTTTCGGTGCTTGTAACACACTCCTTGCTTGTTCGCTCAGCTGAATAAGGCCATTGTAGTCATCAGGTGCATACTATAGTACAAGTGTGACATACGATAATCAGCAAGAGAAGGAACAGTTCTGGTACAGCAAGCCACACAGACTGTCATTTGCAACCACAATTAAGAGCATTAGCTATAACAACTGGCAGGAGACAGTGAATTTGACAGATGCTATTTTTAAGCAAGATTGAAAAACAACCATCAACTGAATTACTGGTTGTAAAATGGAATTGCAGTAAAAGCATGTGGGGAATATCTGAATTGTGTATTTGAGCTGCTCCTAATTAACAAATTGAGTTAACAAATATTTTAAGTCTGCACAATCACGCTCCAGAAATGACTTTCACTGGGACAGCTAAGCATCTTTCAGCATGCATACTGGGATTAGAAGTGTACAGATCTCATTCAGATCTTCTATGCAGTCACGGAAATAATCTGCAGCTTCTCTGGTGTAGAATGCTAAATACACTTCAGCTGTATAAAATACTTGCATTATACAGACTTCATCAACATAGTCAAACAAAAACAATGTCCCAGCATGAAGGTACTTAAAAGATTTGTTTCTAAAGCATTTATACTAATATAGCTTATTTCCACACAAAAAAAGAAAAGCTACTCAGTATAACTGCAACACAATAGACTTGTAATAGAATATTTCAAATAAAAACACTGGCTGCACAGTACAGTCACAGCAATGAATAGAAGACAAAAACCCCACATATGTGGGGGTTATTTAAGAAATATTTGAGATCCTGAATCTGAACAGTTATCATGCATGCTGCTGGGGAACCTGGTGCCAATATGAGATCTATGATCAGAAAGATTATCTTGGGAAACGTGGACCGTTGTTTTGCATCTTTCTCATTGTCTCTCCAGACTAACACATCCTGGAAAAGGACTGAGCATACTTGCTTATGCTGCAAACACTACTGGAGTGGTTCCTGTAATCCAGATGACAACGTCTACCATAACCTCAAGCTGCAGAACAACCTTTCGGTGGCAAGGAGAGTTTTCTATGTCCCCCAAAATGGTTTTGCATTAATATTTTTAGAAGATTGCTAAATGCACACAAAGTACACATACTGCTTTCTTTGATATTTCTATAATACAGGAAGTCTCCTGCCAGCTTAGGGAGGAAATGATATTATACTTGGGTGTACAAGACACACTGTATTCATCCAAAGCAAAGCTGAAGAAAAAAACAAAACCAAATCAACCATCACAGTATACACCTTCCACAGAGAACAAAAACCAAGAGCCCAGAGAACAAAAAAGAAAAGAGCCTCTCAGAATTTTTACTACTATTTCTAGCCACCTCTTACATCTAGACCCATGCCATTAAGTAAAAGACAAATATAAGAAGTATTTTCCAGATAGTCTCTGCCAGGGCAACCAGAACGTGCAAATATTAGATTTATCAGTTCCCAGACCTGCCCTTGAAACAAATCTACAAAATGTAAGTTTACTCTTTGGAAAGAATGTCTCAAGATAGTACATACTTCAGATTATCAGTAGATGTACAGTAGGTAAAGGTCTACAGTTTCTAGTGAGGGCGAGTGTTCAAAACATAAGCAATGAGGAAAACACAAAAGTAGGAAAATTACCCTGCAGAGAAACATCAAAGTTGTAGCTTAGGCCTAGCCACAGGCCTGAAAAAGAAAATGGAAATAAAAATACCTAATGATAGAAGAAGCTTTCAATCACAGGAAGCAAAAGTGAGATTGCATTTAATTAAAGCATAAGTTATGGAACAGTAAATTCTCCAGATTTACAGATTACACAAAAAGTAGTATTGCAAATGAAGACAGGACACAGAAGCGCGGGAACAAAAACACGTGAATGAAATAGAGCCTACCTTAGGTTGCCTGATTAAAAACACAATCATGAATACTTCTGATTCTGCTCACGATTTAGAAACCCAAGCAAAATAAAAACATCAAACAACTCAGGATGAACAGCATAAAGTCCAGGGTGAATCTATAATCCCAGTGCTCCATTTGAAAATACTGTTCTGCTGGTGGCCAAATTCTGCTTCCATTTAAATCTGAGAAATTCCACCCAGTGATTTAAACCCCTTGTATGACCAGTTGCAACTTCACTGAGATAGGTTCTAGAGCTTGCTTGCCATAAATATCACTGAGACAATACGAAACTTCATACTGTATTTTTGAATTCTACCCTACAAACAATCAATAAGAAATCCTGCTATAGTTGTCCTTTAAATGCAATAAAATTATAAGCAGACATCACTGTTCCTTTCTCCAGTATCCTCTCTATCATCTCAGTCCCACTTTCTTTGTTTCTCTGAACTGAAACACAGCTTATTTCCTCAGACTGCTGCCTTTTCACATTCTGAGCTCATGGCTCTTAGAGGGCTGGGCTAAAGTTGATGTGAACAGTTCCCCTCCATCCTAAATGATCCTGTGATTCAGAGGCTTCACTTACTGCATCAAATATAGCATTAAATATAGTGTTCTACTGGAATAATGCAGCAACATTATTTTAAGCCATTACTTAATCTAAGAAATATGTTTCTGAGTCTTCCTTTACCCAATTTAATAGGATATGTTGTTCTCACATGCTCATGAAAGATTAACAGGAGAGACTTATTTCCCCAGAATTACTGAGGGAGGATGCAGATAAATTCAGAAAAAGCAATTTCTCCCCCACACCCACTCAGTGGGAACAGGGGAGATGCAAGATGGCAGAAGGAATATGCGTACATACTGAACAAAAAGGGACTGAAAAACAGGGACATTGACAAACAGTGTCAAAAGTAAAGCAAAACAATGCTTCCTGAAGAATGTGTTGTTTCTTAATAGAGCCAGTGAATTATTGTGCAAGTACATCTATCCTTCTAGGTATTAACATCTGAATTGGCAGAGACATTTCAACTCATGTATATTAAATAACAGTATAATATTAAATAGTATGTATTAGAATAATCTTTAACAATATTAAATGGCAGATGTATATTAAGAAAATAATAAACACCAACTCTTCTCTCCTAAAAGAGATGACCAAAATCACAGCTTGAAGTACACTCTTACTTTGCAGCATCAAATGCAGGAGGCAACTGATAAGAACTGTAACCACTAATTCACTAGTCCCATGACCAGATGCTTTACCTACAAGAACAAAGTTTCAGAAAGAAGATAAATTTAGGAACAAAGCAGAACAGAATGCTATGGTGAGATGCACAGGAGTAAACAAGTAACACCTTTGCTGCCACCTAACAAAGTAACAGTAAGTTGGATTTCTCCATCACATCCCCTTATTTCCTTCCCTAGACCAGAGGTGCTGGGCCAAGAAGGGGCACACAGACAGTGGGGTATCCCTGTCCGACTATGAAGCATCAGATTTCAAAAGGAATTCAATGGAAAGAGAGAATAGTTCTTTGTTCAAACATGCATTTCAGAGGAAAAAAAAAACTACTCCTTAAGAAGTCTGTAACAATGAAGCCTGCTGTCCTGATATAAGGGAGAAAGGTTGTTAATGCTCTTGGAATTTAGCCATCCATCCTTCCCCCTCTACCTCCTTACTACTGTTTTAAGTACAACTCCCCACTTCAGCAAGTCTTGAATTTTGGGTCCCTGAAGAATTGGAGGATTAATACACAGGAAGTTCTATACAGCTGCAGATAAAAGGCACTTAAGCCCACTACAATTTTAAAAGAACCCACTGTCCACTTTTAATTATAAACACTTTTTTTTTTTTTGTTACCTTCTCTTCAAGCATCTTTTAGCTACACATCCAGTACATGACTGGAGTGAAAACACTGGCCCAGCTATAACAGAATACAACTTAAAAAAACAACCAAACAACAGTTTAATATAGAGTAATTACTATATCAGAAAGTTTTAATACTAGCTTTTGTAAATGTTACAGTGCACTATAACATTATACAGAAAGGTGATTGGGAAAGTTACTATCTCCAAGATTTGCTATTAAGATTATTCACAAGCTTTCTAAGATTGTTTAATGCAAGATGCATTAAACACATGCAAGCTAGGAGGAATTTTCAATGGTAAAAAACAACAAAAAAAGCATAACTATAAGAAGAAATCGATGTGGACCACTCAACAAGAGAATTGTGCTGATAAAATAAGTGAAAATGGAAATAAGTGATAAAATGCTGATCTGCAGATATTTACATTATTTACTGTTAGAAGCATGTACTGATGTTGAGACCAGCTTGTTGAAGCCCATTATACACAAAGTCTGTCTTTTAAGAGGCAGGTCTGGTACAGAAGGTGTTTTCACTTCAATAGCAACGTGTGCATACATGCAATATATGGAGCCCACGAAGACTGAAGGAAGAAAACAGAGCATAAAGCAGGAACTCGAACTTAAAACTCGTTCCTTTCAGACAAGGACATACAAAGAGAAAAAAAAAAAAAAATCACCCTTCAATTTCAGCTTCTCCAATCTGTTTCCCAAGCCCATTGAATACCAACATCAATTAGTTATGCAGAGATTAAAACCACGCCCAAAACACTGACAATTATCAAGGGCTCACTTTATAAATGACCAGAAGCATCGAGCAATACATCCTTGGGCAGCAGCAGTAAGTGAAATACATAACATGAGGAGGAGGGGAAGGGGGAAAAAAAAAGGCAAGTTAGTATTTCCTCCAGAGACTCAATATTGTCCCAGTAAAGCAAATCACCACCTCAGTTTTCCCCTAAAGGAATGAGGGATTATAAAGCTAGCATTACCACATGTGGGATCCAAGAACAATTCAAAATAATTCCTTGGCTCCTTTAAGATATTGAACCCGATCTCATTTGGACAACATCTTCTAAATAAATCAAAGAGGTGACCAATTTAATAAAGTAACTGATGACGACAGGAGATTGCTGCAGAAGAATATAAATTGCTTTCACATTGTGGTAAAATTTCTATTAATTTCAAACATTTAACTGTGCAATCAAATGCTACAAGCTACTCTCTAAATGCAGAAAAAAAGTGAAAGGTCAAACACAGTACCAGACCCAAAGTCCAGCTTCACTAAATTGAAGATGTAGTGGATGACAGCACTGCCAGATATTGGAAGTCACCAACTTGTTCTATTCCCAGGATAGGACCATGTCCTTTTTCAACAGCACACTTACACTTCTAGCTGAATTTCAGTTTAGGAAACAAGACTGTCCTCAGCTAAGGTTTCAATTCAACCGCTGTCCATCCATCAAAAAACCCAGTCAGATGAAAAAGAGTGAATTATCAACAGATAAGAAACAAATTATTATTGCTCTGTTGGGGAGGAGGTGTAAGAAGGGGGAGAGAAAAGGGAATAAATCCGTAAACATCTGAATCAGTTTTAACTCTGCAGTTGCTCTGTTGAAGAAAAATCCTTAAGAAACAACTAAGCTTAGCATGTTCTTAAGTGTCAAATATTCAGCACACTTGTTACGAATTGACCCTCACATTTTTCCACTGAAAAAAACATGTATGCCAAATTATTTGTGAACATAAATGTAACATTTTAAGAGGTGCCTCAAGAGGCATGCACCTTCCAAATACCTAAAACTGAGAACTTATATATTTAAGCATCTGCTCACAGTCCGCATGCATTTGCACAGCAAATACCTGGTTCTACAAACTACAGCCAATTGTCCTTCAGGACAAAAAAAATGTATCATGCCTGAATGTTTCATGTTAACTGCTGATATGAAAAACAAACAAAACAAAACCCCTGCATTCCAGCCTTTAACAATACCTCTGTTAACCAACCTACTGAATTTTGTAAGACAAACTCATGCAAAAACAGCCGCCTTTTTATGAATACCACTTGAACAGGCATTTGAGACACACCAAGTAGATTCTAAATCAGGGCTTCTGAGGAAAGCTTTGGTACTTGTGCAAATGCTGTTACCCAAACAAGATAAATACTCATCAGAATACACACCACACTCAATTATCTTCCATTTTAGTAAGTATGTGATGGCAAAACATGGATATACGTAGATACAACATCCTCCAAGATGATAAGGTGATGACATGAAAAGACCCATTCCACAAATTCAAATACATACTGCTGAGAAAAAGTATTTGCACATGGTGGGTTTTTTTGTTGTTGTTGTTATTGTTATTTTCCTCTAGGAGATAAATTTCTATATGCTTTTCCCATTGATACAGTATTGAAGAAGCAGGTACTGACTGAAGTTACCTATAGCAGCATTTAGCATACTTCCTATCAGTATAACCCGGGTTGGAGAATACAATTTTCTTCAGGTTGCAGTATGATGCAGTTATAATAGTCGTAATGCAAAATGCTGCTGCCTGTAAGCAAAATAAATGGCCCAAGCAAGAGATTCTGACACTGGCATCTCTCCTCTTTTGTAACCTGGATGTGGTGACTTGCATTGCAGCCTGTTAACTAGAACTTCGCTCTGAGCAGTCAGTCTTTAACAATTAAGACTTTCATGTGAGCACTAGATCATTGCCTTCAAACAAAAAATAAAAAAGTAGAGCAAATTTTACTACTACACTATGGCCTGTCAATTAAATAGAGAACACTGAAATTGTATGTATTGTATGTTGATCAATTTCCAAAAGCACAGTCTCATTCGGTTTGATCATTACTCAAAGGTATAAATAAAACATCAGGGAGGGAGAGCGACTGCACACTAACCTGGTATCCCTGGAAGAAACTTAGAATCTCCTTCATTCCTGTGTTATATGGCAAACCCTGCATTCGAACTAATGCTCCAGGCTGGGGTAGAAGTGGAGTGTGGGTGGCAGTGGCAGCAGCAGCTACAGCTCCTGGAGGAGCTGCAAGATATCCCACTGTGGTAGGGGATACTGGAGGACTGTAAGAGAGAAGAGGCAAAATTGTTATGAAAATAAATAACTGATTTTAGTACTTGGAGCAGGCATAGAAAAAACTGAAAGTTCAAATATGAGAATAATGTAAAAAAAAAAAAAGGTAACGAGCAGCCTTGATATGGAAACTTTGTCAACTTTTCTAACTTCTCTTCAGCTTTTGATGACTTGCAGAAGGGACAGAGGAAAACAGCCAGCATTTGTAGTTGATAAGGTAAAAAAGCAGATATTCCATTGGAGAGGAGAAAAACAGGAGCTGCAGATGATTTCTAAGATCATTAACAAAACCACGAAGAAAGCGTGAGAGAAAAATTGTAGAACGAAAACCAAGCGAGGGCAAAAATCTGGTGCTTTTAAGCCACAAAAAGTGAGTAAAGTAGCATCTCCATTCAAGGCCCATCTAGCAAGTTACCGTGTACTCAGACTATTAAGCATCATGAGCCCAGGAAGAGTCAATAAACTATTTTCCCACAGATCCAACCACCAGAATTCAGTGAGCCATCTTGATAACATCAGTGAGGAAAGAAAGGTGGAGATCACTTGCTTTGCATACAAAGTATTCTTTGGTCTCATTGATATAAGACATTTAAATCAGTACATATCTCTTATAAGCCTTTCAGTATGAAAACAGTATTCTAAGTACAACATCAAGATAAGAGAAGACGGTAGAGACACAGTTTCTCATTTAGCCAAGAAATAGAACTGCCTTGATGACATCACATCATTGCCAAAAACGCTGCTAAACATTAGAATTACATTATTGCGTGGTTCAACCAGATCCTATGGAGAAGGGTGAGCATCATTAAAAGGCCACAGAGTAGTAAAAATGGCTACTGCCTCCACTGATCAACAAATTCTTAGCACTATCTACATGAGATGTACAATTTAAATAGCTATTGAAAGGTAATTACACAGTTGCCTAATCTACTGCGATAAAATGACAAGAGAAGCAGCTGAGACTAGGGGATACCTGGGATAGTAAGCTGTGTAGTTCATATAAAGCTGAGCAGCCTGAGCTGGGTAGTAGGTAACAGCTGGAGGAGCAGCAGCTGAGGCCTGGGGAGTCCTTGCTGTTGGCAAGAGGGCTTGTGGCTGGTAAAGCGCTGCTTCTGCTGGGATCACAGCTGCTGTCTGAAAAGCAGCATAAGCTGGTGGAGAAAGACCTAAAAACAAACCAGGATACAAGAACAAACAGCAGTCAGAACGCAGATCCCTGGCTTTAAGAAAGGACTTGTTCATCCCAGTGAGATTAATAACATCTGGGTATGATTTATGAACGCATACAAATACTGCTCTCTACCCTCTCCCTCAGCCGCGTTACCATGAATGAAAACTGTGGCATTTGAAGCGAGTTGTTCTTAAGAATTCACAACTCCAAGAGTTGAGCATCCCTGTCTATATGTAAATAGTAAGTAGGGAACTTCAGAGTTATTCAAAGAAAGCATAAAGCCATGTGCACAGAGAAAGCAGGCGTGCAAACCAACACACCCTTTCTTCTTTTTAACAGAAGTTGTACTCTGTGGGACAAGAGAACCATAATTAGCTATACCCAAAGAGTACCTTCTTAATGCTCCAAGGCAAGACAGCAAGAGCACTCACTGGCAGCTACAGTACAGGATTTTTCCCTTTTTAAAAATCCCTCTAATTCCAAGTAGATTTCACAACAAGCAAGTCCACTGCAGAGCTCAGAAGAACAGTACACCCAAAAAAGCAAAGTGTGCAACTATTTCATTGGCAAGGCCTTGCTGCCCTCTATGCACCACCGAAAATTCAATAAAAAAAATGCCTCCAATCAGTCCCATTATTGCCCAGAGGGAACAATTCCAATCTCAGCATGTATACAGATGAATGATTATTGATCACGGCAAAACCCAAGTCAAAAGGTGAAAGGCCACAAAGCTTCAGCACCTACCACATATCAGCCTTTAGCAGCAGAGAGCAGAAGAAATGCAGACTTACATGGTAACTTACATGGCGGTGGGGATAAGCCACTACGATTTAAAGTGCCACCCATTAAAACAAAGTTCATCTCCTCTCCCGAACACTGGAATACTTCCACATAACGGTCCTTCATCATTTTTTTGTGACATTTTTGAGCCACCATAAAGGCTTTGTCAGCAGATTTCATTTGGATAAAAGCATCACCTGATGGCCGTCCCTTTGGAAAAGGGAAAAACAATAAGTTAATGTGTAATTTGACCATTCAGAACACAAGAAATGCAAGTAGTCCTAAGATTAAATACTTACATCCCATATTGTTCTTCTGTATCTAGTACTAATAAGCCAATAATTATTTTAGAAGTAAAAAAGCAAGACTCAGGTATCCATCACCCAGTTAACTTAATACTACCTTCTTCTGTAGGGAAAAAAAAGACTAGAGCTAACATTCACATTACATCAGGCCACATGTGGTCTTTTCTATTTGAATTTCAAACATCTCCAGGAGATGAAGATGCTGTAGATCTCATTTATTTACATAAAGAATAGCATCTCAATGTTTCTGTCAACGGTGCTTATTCTTGACACAGGAAGACAAGTTAAAAAATATCCTCATAACTGCACCAATAAAATACATCCAAAACATAAGTTAAATAAGCAAGTTCCTTTAAACTCCGAGAAGTCTTTAATCATTTTAGAAAAAGACCAAAAAATGCCACTTAAGCAATGCAGCTACCACTGAGTGTAAAAAAAAAAAAAAAAAAAGAGCTATTTTGTGTATTTCCAGAACTTGTCTGAAACACAAATCTACTATTTCAAGGCAGCCTCCAAGACAAAGCTATTGTTAACAAGTTCTGCCACAAGCATCATCCTCCCCTACCCTAAGCATACAGGCACAGAAAGAAAAACAGGTATGTATGCAGAAGGGAGGGAGCAATGTGGGAGAAGAAAAGACATACACTGAAGTATTTTCTCAAAACTATAGAAGACTTGATGCATAGCAAGTAATAGGTAAGGTACCATGACTTCTAATCATCTTCAATAACCGGAAAGTTAGTTTTCATGCAGTGCTGTTACCTGTTGATTAAGGACCATGTGAACTCCGTGAGGCTTTATATCAGCTGTGGCATCTCCCATGAAGTCCAGGATATCATCAATGCCAGCAGTGTAAGGAAGGCCTCTAAGCCGGACACAGTCCCGTATGCTACCCGTGGCAATTGTATATGGTGGGGGTATAACAGGAATGATGGGAGTTGGGAGGGTGGGAATAAGAGGAGTTGACATGTATCGATTAAGTACCTGTAAGGAAAAAAAACACTTTGATAGAGATTTACCCAGCATTTAGTTAAGCACAAATCAATTTTCACAACGTTATTTCATACATCTAAATAAATCAATTTCCAAAATCAGAGAAAAACATCTTCTTAAAACAGATGTCTGTGGACAGCTTCCTGTTGGGCACTTAAAATTTATAACTCAGAAGGAAGACAATTCAGATCTGATGTATTTAACCTGTTGGACTCTAATAACAGACTTTCGTAAGTTCATCACATTAAAAGATAACAGTTCATTTCTGACCATCCCAAAAAGAACCATTTGGAAACAACATTTTCACTAATAAATCAGTACTGCCACTTACAGTTTTTTTCTTAGATTAGGATAAATTAAAACCAGCCAATTTAAAAGAACTGAGACCTGAAAATAAATGACAAGTAAAAAGACTAGCTCTAATTCATTCATAAAGCTAACAGGTTAATAAACACACACTCTTGTTTAACAAGAAAAACCATCTTGAAGCACAGGGCTTCTAAAATGAAGGTAAGAGCTATAGGAGACCTCAATCTCAACATTTTATTTTCTCCTGACTCATTCCCATGTGACAAAGGGAACAACTTACTTTGGGATCTATTGCTGAAAGACGTATTTAACAGTGATTATCAGAATTACATTCCACTGAAAGAGGCACCAAATAAAGAGATTACAAAGCTTTAGCTTTGTCAATAATGATTCAGCCTATGGAATTCCTCTCAATAGAGGTCTTTTTTTCAAGAATCTATTCTCAAAACACATTTCAGGCCAGAAATATATAAAAAGATACATATATTGTGTGTGTGTGTACATATATATTACAAATTATATAAATACAGATACTGTTTTCTCAAAGGCCAGATGAAATCTAATGATAGTGTTTTTTGGCATTATTAGTCTAGAAATACTCTGTCAGGCAGAAAAACTTAATATGTGATTCAGTACAAAGTTGGTGGTGCCAAAATAAACTGGTGCTTCACTAGTTTAAGAAGATGGTAATAGGAACTGGTGAAGGAAAGGAGGAAAAAAATGAAATTGATTATTTCAGGAAAACATCTCACTTCCCTTCACCAGACCTCAGATAATACATGCAGCTAATTCTTAGCATCCAACAAAACAGCTGTAGCAAAAGCTATTTTAATGTAGCTAGATTTAAATTTTGCATTCAATTCTGTGCATGGGAAACGAGTTTAAAGACAACTGCAGTGCTTCAAGTATTACTACAGTGTTATCAATCTTGAACATTTCTAGAATTATTTTTCAGATTTCAGATAAATTATTTTCTATTAATTGATTTAATTATTTAAAATAATCCAATAATTACTTTATGATCTGAGAGATGTGACAGTAAAAAAAAAAAAATCAAGGAAAAAAAACCATTTGCACAATTTTCCTTGCCTATCAGTTAGCACATTTCTCTTCCCAGAACTTAACATCTGTAGTATATATCAGACTTCCACAGTTGTCCGCAGGATATTTGTGTGCAAGTACTGAAAGGAATCTTTAACTGTTAAGTTTTGAGTTTCACAGCCAATAGTTACAACCTGCTGAACTTCTGCTGCTGTGCTCCTGAAGAGTTCAATGTAACGCTTCCCAAGTATTTCTTTGTGCTTTTTAAGTGCATTCTGTGCATATTCTTCACAGGAAAACAACACAAATGCATCTCCTGTGGGCCTGCCATCTGGGTACTTGACAAAGAGAAGTCCTTCTTTCCCTCCTGTGACTGGACACTCTGGCCCCAGGAATCCCAGAACATCCTCCTGAGTAGCAGTGAATGGAAGACCTCTCATCCGGATGATAACTTGATTCTCTTTAGATAAGAACTGAGCCACTTCATTGGAGGTACCTAGTACGAAGATAAGAGTGTATGGACAGCCAATTCCACAGAACATAGGAGCAGAAGCACATTAAGGAGCAACACAGCAGTAAGTAGCTAGCAAGAAACCCACAGAAGACCAGAAGCACTACTTACTCCCAAACTGATTTTAAAGCAGACTCTCTTATCCTTAAAGTTGTTCATATTTTAATGAAATTGGAACAAATAAGACATTACTGTGAGGTACATAGATATTTCTGCTGCAAAGGCTCCTCTTCCCTCAGCAAACTGAGTCTGCTAACATCACAGCCCAAATGCTCACAGCTATAAGTCAACCAAATGAAAGCAAAATTTCACAGGGTCAAGGATTCTTAGAAAGCAAAACAGGAAAAGCTACTTCAGGAATTACTTATGCCCTCAGCCAAGAGAAAAATCAGAACTACCACTGTTTTTATGAAAGTAACACTGAGCTCCAGGATCACTTACCTCCTGCAATTTTTAAGAATTCTTCCCCAGTTGCTTTGTAAACCTTAAAGAAAAAAAAAAATACATGAAAATTTAAACATTCAACTCTTTTATGTATGAGACAGTGTATTTTGCTTGCTTTGAGCAACTTAGAAGCACACCTTGTTCTCCTTCAAAATCATACACTAAAATATTCAGATTGCTTTTAAAAGATTTGTTTCAAGTTGCTACTTTTTACCTCAATGTATCTGCTACCCATGTGATGCTTATGTCTTTCCAGTGCCAGATCTCTCTGCTCAGAATTGACAAATCGAACTAATGCTTCACCATTTCTTCTTCCTTGAGCATTCAGACAAAGGGCCACGCCACCTCTGAAATGTAAAGCCAACAAATTAAGAAGTGTGATGTTGGATCTCATGCTGTTAGTCACTTTCTCAGCTTCCACACAGGGGAAATATTAGAAGGATGGACTTCTGAGAGACAGTGCACTACATATTAAAAACACATGATGTTGAAGAAAGTGATAAAGGCAAAACAAGTTCTTATCTTCTTACTTGGCAATATTGAGTCCTTTGAAAAATCGGGCAATATCTTGGTCTGAAGACTGCCAAGGCAAACCTCTAGCACGTATTACTGTCTCACTATCCACTGTTTCTGATTTGCTGCTGCACAGAAAAGAAAAATATGTAAGCTTTTATCTAGGTTTCCCATTATCTTATCAAATTTTCATTTACAACTCATTTAAATTGAAAATCCAGAGTATATTCATAGTTGAGATTCTGCTCATTTTAGTAAAGAAAACAAAAGATAACTGGGATAATCCCTTAAGATATACAATGCCCAAGGTGCACTGTGTTGTCATCACGTTCAGTTCTTTAAGAAAAATAAGAATGTCCCAAAGTGAAGTAATAAGGAGCTTCCAAATTTTATTCAGAAGTTCTAACAATCTTTAGGTTTTATCCCAAATCCTGTGTAATCATTGTAGATGATTATAAAGCAGTCCTAAATGTGAATTTATATTATTTATGCTTAATATGTTTGATTCTAGAGTTCATGAAGTGTATTTGAAAACTGAGAATTGCTCTGTTTGTTGTCTGCCTAAACCAAATTCAATTTAAACGAGAAAAAAACAGGAAAGATCATAGAAAAGCAGAGCTGTCTGTCTAGAAAATGAGCCCACAGCAAGAGACCTGTATACAGTCAAAATGTCCCAAAGCTGTAATTCAGATCAAGATATGGTAAAAGGAAATGCCCATTTTGAAGAGGCAGAACAGAAAAAACACCCAGTTGGGTAAGGAACATTTCTTTTACTCAATAGCTTCCATTTTGACACTCAAAGAACAAACTGAAAATATAAAAATACGTCCAGGTACACTTTGGCTAGACAAATAATTAGCATCAAGGCTTTCACAAAAGTGTAAGCTACGCTTCTGTCAGACAGAAAACCCCCTTAAGCAGTCTCTTGAAATAATTTTCTTCTCATTTGCTTCAGCTACAGCCTCATAGATAATTCTTCAACAGTATTACATAGTTCAGCTCCATACAGAGTGCACAAACCCCTGTTGACACAAGGAGCGTTCACAAATATTTTTTCACGATTGGTTAGGATAAGTCAACCTCACTCCCATTCAAAACAGAAACCAGTGAACAAAGTGTTTCACCTGCTGTGGATTTAAAGGCAGACTAAAACACAGAATTCAATATACCAGCTATGGTACGTGCACCAGATTACTGAATACACTCTTACTTTTCTCAGGAGCCAACCTACTTTCACATAATGACAGCAGGGAAACACTTGCAAGGTTTTTCTGCTGATGATGAGACTCAGCTTTGGTTGTAATGAGCTGTGACAAAGGCACTTACCAAGGACCTGTTTCGTACTTGTATTTCACAGTTTCAGGGTCAGTAAATATGTGATCTGCAACAAAGCGGGAAGTTTAAACATAACCAGGGTCAGAGATTACTTAAGAATGACAGTTCCACTGTCCATTCATCAAGAAAGAAAAGATTTCAGCATTCTGTGTAAATAGATCACTTACCACAATTTTCAGAGAGCATGCTGAAAATGATAGCCACCATTGTTTTTACTTGCCACACGCCAAAGTCCTCCTCTGCTTCATCTGTCCCTAAGCCTAGATCTGAACAGCCAATCATAGAAAATAACAGACTTGAACAAATAGTTGTAAACAAGCCATAGGCTTTCCTGTTATTAGCACAAAATTGATAATCAAGTGATACCAGCCTTCACAGGGACACATGGCCATCAGGCATTTGTAACTGTGCTCACAAACTGGTTAATATTCACTTTCACAGTCAACATTCTGAGAACTACTGATAGTGTTAACAGCTCAAAAAAAAGTAGAGTAAATTCCTATCACTTCAAACATAATTGAACTTTAACCACATTCTTCTGGAGCCGCAGAATTACTCCAAAAATTTAGATGTAGAAGTGGTTTATTTTGTCCATTTTTTCAATTAGTTTTTTGTTTTAAACAAAACAGAATCAAAGAATAATAATTGTCTCCAAACACTGGAAATTTGCAGGCCTAAAAAGGCCCACTGATAGCTAAATTTCTCTCCATTAAGATCAAATACACATGCAAATGATGGTTTTATTTTAGTGTTTGTGTGCACCTTAGTGAATTTACTAAATATGGTCTAGATTCCATTATTAGAGCAAAGCTTAAAGCCATTACAAACAGACCCTCGCACGCACACACACACAAACACACACAAACATTCACTTCAGCAAACATTAATTTGCTTTCACAACCATGAGATTTTTTAAAACCCATCCATCTTAATTTAGGAGAATAAAACCCGTAACAATCACAAGGATAAAACCTAAAGAAGAGAAATCAATTCTGTTGCAAAAGCTGCAGCAAAAGGATACATTCTGCCATGGTCTTGATAGTCTGGTCTTTCACGGCGGCTGAACTAGGGTAGCATGTGTGAAATTCTTTGCGCAGATCATAAAAGGAATAGAAGCACTCTGACAGCAGGAAGTTCTACAAGGAAAGCAAAAAAAAAAAGTGTTGTACACATTCCTTTACACTCTGATCAGTATTTCTGGACCGAATGATGCCATCTCAAGAACCACATAGTTGCATGTCATCAGCCTGTCTAAGATAGACCAGGTTGGGTTTTTTCCCCCCTTTGGAACAGTTCAAACACTGCAGTCTTACAGAATGATCTCTAAATAAGCACGCCCAAGTAGCTGCTGAGAGGTAGACCTATGCAAAACAACTCTAGAAAATATCTAGAAAAAGTCACAAAACCCTCCAAAACTGGTTTTCCTGCTATATACATCTTTCCCATTAGGATATTGTTGTTATTTTCTCTTTTGCAGCAACATTTAAAAGCGATATCGTACCAAGACATGGTAACAGTACATATAAATATTGTCAGAATATAGAAAATATCTGCATCAACTTAAAGGCATTCCTTCATCACTACTACGTATTTGATAACAACTTCAGTTATATAACGTTATTAAACAAATATTTAAGCATTCTTTCATTTGAACACTGGCTCCTGTCCCCATGTTATACACCAGAACTAGTTCTGTTAATATTTTCTCTCTTACTCTAACTGTTTCACTATATGAAAGTTTGCCTTTGCTCTGAAAATAAACAATTGAGAAAAATCACAAAGCAGCCCTTGTTAGCAATTGCAAGAACCAACTTCTGAGGCTTAATAACATTTAGTGTTCAGGAAAAACTAAACTGCAGCAAATGAGAATGCATTGGAGAAAATAAAAAAGAGAAAAAAGAAAGAAATGCAGTACTGGAAGATTAAGAATGTCAGCATGTCCATTGCTTGACCTGGTATGGGCAGTTCCAGTTCCAGGATACTCTTTTTTGTTTGTTTTTGTTTGTTTTGCTTTAGTTCATTTGTTTCAAGACAGAAATACAAAGAATTACCCACAATCCATATAGCAGGATGGCATACTGAAAGAGAAATAAACAACGCTAACACACTTGAACACTGAATATCATTGTTTCCGTGTTTCATTCCTACAAAAGCATGTGTTTTTAGGAAAAGTCACAATGTTATGATTTATAATACAACACAGATGCCAAACAAGTATTTGTAGAAACTCGGCATGACCAGTACACTTATAGAGAAGAAAAAAACACAGCTGATCAGCTTCAGTGCCAGCTGCTCCCATTCCTGTGGGGTTTCTTCAGACCCTGTCAAGCAGGTTAACTCAGAAGCCACAACCCAGCACAAGGGCAAGATTCTTCTTCCTGTGCAAATCAGGCTTGATTGGGATCTGCTGCTTTGTGTGGGAGTAGCAAATAAGGTGTAGTACAACATTCTGCTGAATAAATATAGATGGGAAACAACTGCCATTCTCCAAGACAAGTTACTGACTGCATGTTTACTTTCTATAGGACACTGACATATGGCTGCTACCAATTTCAGGTTTGGTACAAACACATAGCCCTGCTCATGACCAATGACTTAATTCAAACCTAAACTGAGGAGTACTTCTCTATCATGTCCACTGAGGTTAGACCTTTGTAATCACACACTACAACAAAGAATACAGGCAACTTGTATTTCTTCTTCTAACTTGCCTTTCCTTATTTTCTTCTTCACAATGCTTCTCTGGGTGTCCTCTAGTACTCTAGCTGATTTTCTAGAATAAGTGTTGAAGCACACTAGTAGTCTACAAGGCGGGGATCATCAGAAGTATTCCTGGAGCACTACAGTTCCCAGGGTGGAACTGTGTTGCTCATCTCAAACTCAGATTAAGGACATCAGAGAATACAGTTAAACACAGTAGTGCTCTTCATGTCAGTTCTGATCTCATACCTTCTTAGATGTTTCTGGGTGGAGGACTTGTCGAATGAGTAACTGGCCATCGCTGCAAAGGGTGTAAGAGTTCCTTCCAAATACTTTCAAATCACTGGATACCAGCTGAATAAACTGAAAAAGGAGAAGAGATAACTTGCATTTACTGACTGACACACGTAATGCATAGAACAAACAGTAAATATAAAAACTCTTCTTTTAGAAAGGTAAAAAGCTCAATAATTCATAACTTTTGAAAACACATGATAGAGAACAGATGTGAGCTCCTGTGTAAAATGCAGACAAAAAAAGATTCATTTGCAGAACAGAAAATAAGAACACCAGCAATAAGACAAAAAGGACAACTAGGAAGAATTAAGTGATCAGATAAAGGAAGTGATATTGTAATAGTAAGGTTCAAAGTCTGAACTAATAATTAAAAATTGCTGTGCCGTATTTTAAAGAAAAAAATCCCTCCAAGATCAATCAGAATACTAATTGTATGACAATCTTTCTTCATCTATGACACCTTTGACAACAGTTATATCCTTAATATTTTGTTTTAAATTAAACTTCAAAACAACAAAAAAAACCAACCCATCACAATTTACTGTTTCAAAAGTTGTATGCTAGGGAAAACAAACAAACTTCGGTCTGATGCCTTAGGAACTGAAAGTGTAAGCTAAAACCAAGTTATCCCTTGCGTGTAGAATGGATTATCCCCAAAAAGGTTAATTCTCAAGAGGAAAGGGCTGCATCTGTCTCACTCAGTACTATTTTCCATCCTTGGACAACAGCTTCTGGCCTTTTATTAACCCATATCAGAATTAAATTCCCTGTTCCTAATTGTTAACTAACACAGTATAGTTCCTACATGTATGAAATCAGTACAAAGGAGCTCGTTAGCTAACATTCAAGGGGACAAATATAATTATTCTAAGCTTCCCTCTTGGTGCTACTCTGTCCCAGGAAAGCATCACGTCACAAACAAAGCAATAATTAATCACGATGTAGTAGCAGCCACCCACTGCTCTCAGCTATAACCTACAGATGACAAACACCTCCCCTTTAAATAAGAACAAATCTGCAACTGCAAAGATATAAATATATTGTCTTTTAATCTGTGTATGTGTAAAATAACAGCTGGTTTATTTTATTACCAACAATGCAACATTCTACATAGTTACAGTCTCTGCTTTCTAAAGACAACAGCCTAATGATCTGCTCTCACAGCTACACAATAACTTTGAACAAACATAGCAATTATGTCCCAAAGGTAAGTCTCACAAGAGAGAGATCTTAGATTAGACACAGCAGTAGCAGCAAAGACAAGCTGACCCAGGCTTTAATTTGAAGTAACTGCTCAAATCCAACTTGGGTCCACTTTTTGGCTTGGACAGCTAGTTCATGTTCTTCTGCCAGTCTGAGTTCAGAAACGCCGCAGTGGTGGCTATTGCATGTCCCCAGACAGAGAACTGGGGACAGAAGAGAGTATGGAAAGCTATTTACATCAGCATCTTGTGCAACTTGCCTAAATTAAAGATAATAGAGATATAATTTGAAGATTTATCTACATATCTCTGTATGTAGGTCACACTGAAAGTAATGTCTCCTATTTGTTCCCATGGAAACTACAACAGATACAAAGAGGGCAATAACAGTACTTGATAGAACAAACTCTCAGCTACAAAACACTATTTCTCAGCGTAGTCACCACCATTAGCATTCTCACCAGAAATGAACAAGAGCCTGCTTACTCAAAAACCTACAGCAGCAGAAGTGACCCATTGTTACTGTCAACACTGCTGAAACATCACTCACTGCCTCCCTTTGCTCACATCCACTGTTTGGTCTCCGTGCACGTTCAGCAAGCATCAATGAATGTCAACGGGTACCATTTTTTTTCCATCTGGAGGAGGAATTCAGCAACACACCTTCGCTTTCTTCACACTTCCATGTCAGAAACCATTCCATGAGACTGCCCCTCTGCTACCATCTGTTGCACAGCAACACAATGTAACAGAATATTGGTGGAAAGGTTCAAGCCAACATGATAAAATAGGAGGCATTACTTTCAGAGCAGCCCTGGTAGGTATATCTATGATACTAAATAACTTCAATTTATATAAAACCAGAAGATAATTGAAACTTTTTAAAGGATGAAATATCTCCTCTAATCCTTTCCAAAGCAGTTCTTTGCATACTATCAAAGCAAACAAACAAACCACAAGACATTCTTGCAGATCAGAACGCCAGTTTCCTCCTGACTGGTAGCCCAGGTTCCTACCACAAGCTGAAGGCTTGGAGAACCTGAGGCTATAAAGCAAGTCATTGTTTAGGAATGATTTAAAGTCAGAAAACTGAGCTCAAAATACCTCAACTGATGTGTAAACACCAGAAAAAGAAGAAAATTCCAGAGCTCAAAAAGAACCATTTCAGAAATGCTGTTATGGGGACTGCCACAGCCACAGGCAGCAACAAACATTCTCTCTATAACAAACACAGTGAGAATTGCCTTCTTGCTAAACGCAACACCTTTCTTCTGTTTCAACTTCTAGGCACAGTAAAAAGCAAATATTTGTAAGGAATTGGAAATGGCAGTAGGCATTAGCCTCCAGAAGATGTACAGGAGCTCTTGCCAAAACAAAGCAGAGCCTTACTGTAGAGCGATAACAAAACACTCCTAGACCTCCAACTTTGCACCCTATGCTTCTGAAGATGCACAGAAGCTCGTAAAACTCCAGTGCAATTGGAGAGCTGCTCTGACCAGAATCAAGAAGTGAAGCAGGAAATGGAGGAGTGGAGACTCCTTTTTATTTGTACAGCAAACAGCCCTCAGAAAGTCTTCAAGTTAGAAAACAAAAAGGGAAAAATGTCTGGATAAGAGAGGAAGCACTTAGGCCAAACATTATCAAGTACATTGGTAAAAATAAACAAATCAAGACTGTTGCACTGAAATATTCATCTTTTTTCTTTTGTGTTTCTCATACTGTGTACAGCTGAGAAGACAGCTAAAGTCTATCATACATGTTCAGGAGTTAAAGCAACTAGAGCACATGTATTTATAATTAAAATGTAAGTTCAATGATTACAAGTTTCAGCTGAAAGGCCACTTCAGCCTCCTTTTTCACACTATAAGTTTCAGGAAGCACCTCAGAACACAACCTGCAACACTCATACACCAAATATAGCAAGACAAAAACACATTAAGACCAGTGCCAGATTTACATTACGATTTTCTTTCACAAGCTCAACAACTTGTCCACAATTCTTACATTTTGTGAACTCCACCCACACTCCCTTAACTCCACTTAGAAAAACCATCTCAGCTATTTACCTCCTGTCACCTCCCTTCTTGCTGCTCTCCATAGCACTGCCCCACTTCAGCATGCAATGCTGCCCCACATTCAGATTTCCCCCAAGCTCACGCACCCTCTTGTCTTTCCTGTTCACCTAGTCATTTTGTAGTAACTGAGTTAAAGAGTGCTAATTATTGCTGTTTGCATCTTGCAACCAGTCCCCACTGCAGGAACCACGGTGTACAGGCATCATCCTCCACCCCTTACGGTTCCACCACTCAGTTTCTGCTAGAGTTCTGATGAATCACTCTATATTTAAAGGAACACATTCAGTAATTCAATACATAGATTAAAAATCAAACAGAAAAGAGAAAAAATTAAACAAGCTGCTCTATATGTTTACCTCCTTGAAACATAAAACACTTCTCAAAGGAAAATGTGCTGAGAGGAAAGGAGGGAGTCTGAAGACTAGTTTGAAAAACTGGCTAAACAGGCTTTTGGTCATGTAGCCGAGAGTACAAAGAGTGCAGAGACATGTTTTGCCAGCAGCAAAGCTGGATGAAAGCCAGCACAAGCTGCTGTGTTTCCACAAATGAATCCCAAGTGGCTGAAATGACACAGCCCCCTTCGTGGAGCCTTAACTGAACGAAGCTGTAGATCTTAGAGAAACATGAAGATTCCTCAGAGCTCTTTCAATACTTACAATGCACTAAAATAAACCTCTGGCTATTTGGATATTCCCATTTCCCTAACTAAAAATAGTTCCCATCCTTGAGAAAGGCCACTGCATCTGAGCTGTGTCTATGACTGGAATGGTAATGAAACAGACGTAATTCAGTTGCAGAAGCCATCCACGCTGACAGGTGAACTGTATCTGAACTACAGATCTGCAAGCCTCACCTGTGTGCCAGACAAGTTCATGGAACAAATCCTGCTGGACACTATACTAAAGCACAGGGAAGAGAGGGAGGTGATATGGGATAACCAGCATGGCTTCACCAAGGACAGGTCCTGCCTGACCAACAACACTGTTTTTCAGGATGGTTTAACTGTAACAGTGGACAACGGAAGAGCCACTGAGGACATCTACCTGGGCTTCAGTAAGGCCTTGGACACAGTTGTCCATGGATATGCTTCTCTCTAAATTGAGAAGATAAGAATTTGATGGGTAGGCTGTTCAACAGATGAGGAACTGGTTGCAGGATCATACCCAGAGACTGGTGGTCAACTGCACAGTGTCCAGATGGAGACTGGTGACAAGTGGAGTCTCTCAGGGGTCAGTACTGGGACCTGTGCTCTTCAACATCTTCACCAATGACATCAACAGTGGGATTGAGTGCGCCCTCAGCAGTTTGCAGATGACACCAAGCTGTGTGATGGAGTCAACACACCCAAAGGATGCCACCCAGACAGACATAGACAGGCTGGAACAATGGGCCCAGGTAAACCTCATGAGGTTCAACAAATTCAAGTGCAACAGCTTGCATCTGGACCACAGTAAACTCTGCTATCATTACAAGCTAGTGATGTAAGAATGGAGCACAGCCCTGTCAAGAAAGACCTGAGAGGCACTGGTGATGGCAAGCTGGATATGATCCAACAGTGTGCCCTCATAGCCCAGAAAGCCAACTGTATCCACTATGGCTGCAAGTAAAGGAGTATGGTCAGCAGTCAAGGGAGGTGATCCTGACTCTCTACTCCGCACTGGTGGGGCCTCACCTGGAGCACTGCATCCAGATGTGGAGTCCTCAGCATAGGAGAGAGGTGGACCTGTTAAAGTGCATTTGTAGCAGGGCCACAAAAACGATCCAAGGAATGGAACACCTTCCCTATGTG